TTTTTTTTTTTTTTTTTTACCTTTTTCATGAGAATATTATTATATCTATTTTTTCATATCATACCAGGAAACACTCATATATTATAACATCGTTCGTAAATATCAGTGTCAAATTTAGTCTTTAAGAGGTTTAAAAGATTTTTGCTGAAATTATATTATTATATAATGAAACCCAAATTATTTTAGTTAAATTCATGCTATGAAGTAAACTTGCAAATGTCGATCAAACGTGATCGTGACCGGATACCACCGACTGGAAATTTTTCCTTATTTATGTATAATCTATGTTAATATATACTCTATTTTATAAACCTATCCCCGTCGACACAGACTGCGCGACGATCAGGCGGTGGTCAAGTTCGAGAAGGAGGGTCGCCAGCTGATGCGAGTTACATTCAACCCCAAGCTGGTGACCTTCTGCCAGGATGTGCGCGAGTTCGAGAATCTGGGCTACACGGTGCCGCTGGAGCTGCGCTCGGCTGCGACGCACGCCGCCAAGTACATGTGCTACGCGCGCCGGCTGCAGCAGATCGCCACGTTCCACAACACCATTGGCGATCGCATGATACCCTGCCAGAGGCCCATCATGCTCAAGAATGCGCTGGAGCTGCAGCGGCTGGTGCAGAGCGAAACTGTCGCCTGGCAGGACGAGGCGTCGGTGCAGCGGTACGTGAACACCCTGCAGGAGGCGGTGTCCAAGCTGTCGGCCGACAACACGCTGCTGGTGGGCTACCATGAGCAGGCCAAGCGAACGGTGGGCAGACCTAGATTTACTCTTTCTAATTATTTTGATTTATTTCTATATTCAATGGAATTTCCTGATCATCATCCATCGTCCGTTAGGTCATCAAGCTCATGGGCACAGATTTGCTGACGCAGAACCAAGTGTGGAAGGACGAGTTGCGGCATCTGCGGGAGCTGGTGGCCACGCTGGAGCGCCAGGGCTACACGAATCTGGATGCCTTCAAGCTCCACTGGGATCATCAGCTGTACAAGGTGCTGGAGTATCAGTACATACTCGGCCTGCTCGACATGAACAACAAATTGCCGGATATACACGTCAAGCTGGTGCTGCGACAGCGCGAGCTCTGCTACAGTCCGCCGGAGGAGGAGATCCGTGAGCTGTTCTTCTCCCAGCTGCGGCGCTTCATCGAGCGTCCGTGCAATTTCCGTGGTCTGTCCGAGCACAGCACCGCGTTGTTTCAGTCCATGGTCACCTCGAACCGGCATCACTTCGGGCCGCTTTATGCGCGCGCCGCCGAGCTCTTCGACAAGCTGGAGGACTTCAAGCGCATCTGGCTGCCCTGGATAGCGCTGGGCTGCGTGGATCTGGAGCAGCTGTGCAGCATTCACCTGAACGAGGCCGCCGACTGGGATCGCAATTTCCGCGCGTGCAAGCAGTTCAGCCAGCAGCTGGCTAAGCTGCAGACAGCCGAGGAGTCCATCGATTGCATTGTGATCAATGTGCTGCCCCTGCGCACGGACATTGAGTACCTGAGCAGGCGCTACTGGGAGGCGCTCGCGACGAGCCTGCGTGCGTCTATACTGAACGACGTGAGCGCCGTGCAGGAGTTTCTACAGAACGCGCTGCAGTTCCTGCAGAACGTGCCCATGGACGAGGGCAGCATCAGTGAGTCGGGCATAAAGTACGAGAAGATCATGAGCGAGCTGCCGCAGATCAGCGGCACGCTGGAGCTGGTCAGGGCCAAGGATGCCTGCCTGGCGGGCTGGTGCAAGGAGCGGGTCACCGCCTTGGCCGCCATCATGCTGCAGTGGGAGCAGCTGCAGCCGTTGCTGGAGAACCATGCGGTCATCCTGCAGCGACAGGTGGACATCATCAAGACGCAGGCGCACACCCAGCTCCAGAATCTGCGCAACGAGGCGGAGAAGTTTCTGCTGCGCTGGGAGTCCACCATAGCCGAGCTGGAGGCGAACGAGTCGGCCAGCCTGGAGCTGTTCAAGGAGCGTCGCGCCCACTGGCAGCAGCTGCTGGCGAAGAAGCAGCAGCTGCTCGACGAGTGCCACAAATTCAACATGGAGTTCCCGGAGGATGCCCTGGCGCCCTTCGCCGCCATCGATGCGCAGCTGGAGCGGCAGTCGCTGCAGTGGCAGCTCTACGATCAGTTCCTGTCCGAACTGCAGCCCATTTTGCAGGAGGAGTGGGCCATCTACAGGCGGCGGCCGTACGTGCTCAACGAGTTCATTGCTCGCTGGGAGGGCTCGGTGCACGCCTCCATCGACCTGCCCTCGAAGCGCATTCGCCTGCAGGTGGAGCGACTGCAGGCCACGCTGCCCATACTCCAGCAGCTGCAGTCGGATGCGATTAGCGAGCGCCACTGGGCCATCATATTCCAGCTGCTGCACAGGGCCAGCTCGAAGCCTCCGCATGCCATACAGCTGCAGGACCTGCTGGAGGACCTGGATGCATTGCTGGCAGCAGCGCCCGAGATTGCCAGCATTGTGCGACAGGCAGCCTCGGAGCAGATCGTCCGGCAGGCACTCGTCGAGCTCGATCAGTGGTCGGTGACAGCTCAGCTGAAGCTGATCGAACGCATGGACGCCAACGGACAGGCGGTGTGCCTGATCAAGGACTACCAGGAGGTGCTCAACAAGATTGGCGACAATCAGTCGCTGCTGCAATCGGCCAAGAGCTCGGCGGCCTTCGACAGCTTCTCCGATCAGGCGGGGCTCTGGGAGAGTCGCCTCAACACGCTCGACGTGCTGCTCACCAGCTTGAGTCACTCTCAGAGACGGTGAGTGGAACTAGTTCCGATATTTGCATATACTATATTGAAAGTCTTTAAAAATCTCTCTTTTCCTTTCTCGCTCTCTCTCTCTCTCTCTCTCTCTCTCTCCCTCTCTCTCTTTGTAGTTGGGTCTACTTGGAGCCTGTCTTTGGAGCTGGCACCTTGCAGCAGGAGCACGCTCTGTTCAAGCGCATCGACAAGGACTTTCGCTATGTGATGCGCGAGATACAAATGGATCCGAGGGTGACGTCCCTGCTCAAGATCAATAATATAAGCACCATTGTGAATGCGCTGGAAACTCAGCTGGCGCGCTGCCAGCAGAATCTGATGAGCTATATAACGGTAAGCGGGCAGTAATAGACATATATTCATACAATCCTCCTCCTCCTTCTCCTCCTCCTCCTCCTCCTCCTCCTGTGGAATATACACATTTCCTCATACTAACCCCGCAGGACAAGCGCAATTCATTCCCTCGCTTCTATTTCCTGGGCGACGATGATCTGCTGGAGCTGCTGGGCCAGGCGTCCAAGGATGCGGAGATTATCAAGCGGCACATACGCAAACTCTTTCCGGGCTGCCACAGCCTGGCCATCGAGCAGACGCCCAATGCCAGCCACTACAGAATTCTGGCCGTGCACAGCGCCGAGGGCGACGAGCTGCGGCTGAGCCAAGCCGTTGACATGACGGGCGACATTGAGGTGAGTGCTGAGTGCATAAAGCAGATAATGAATCTATTAATGCCTGTCTTTATGCCCACAGCGCTGGCTGAACCAGCTGGTGTCCGTCCTGCAGGAGACGCTGCGCGCCCAGATCTACGAGTGCTACAACAACACCAGCGGCGCCAGCGATTATCTCAGCGCCCAGCTGCTGAGCCAGTACGCCAGTCAGGTGCTGGCCACGGCGCGTGCCCTTCACTTCACGCGTCAGACGGAGAAGGCCATTGGCAGCATGGCGTTGGCCAAGCTGCAGCAGCAGCTCAGGGCCGAGATGTCGCACCTGGCGGCCATGAAACAGCGCTCGGCCGGCGGCAGCCTGCAGTGGCTTAAGCTGAGCGCCCTCCTCCTGGATCTGGTGCACTATGTGGGCGTGGTGGAGCAGCTGCAGCAGCAGAATGTGATGAGCCCCACCGATTGGCACTGGCTGAGTCAGCTGCGATATTACATGGGCAGCAGCAGCAGCAGGCAGGGGGCTGGCGACGTTCGGCAGGTGTGGGTGCGCATGGTTTATGCTGAATTTGAATACGCTTACGAGTTCCTCGGGCATGCCAATAAGCTGGTGCACACCCGGCTAACACACAAATGCTATCTAACACTCACACAGGCCATGCACATGGGCCTCGGCGGTAATCCGTTCGGGCCGGCGGGCACCGGGAAGACGGAGTGCGTTAAGGCCCTGGGCGGCATGCTCGGGCGCCTTGTTCTGGTCTTCAATTGTGATGAGGTGAGAGATGGTCCTGAATGCATCGATTTGTCATAATGTCTCTTTGTGCCGTGTTTGCAGAACGTCGACACCGAATCGATGAGCCTAATCCTAACTGGCCTGGCTCGCTGCGGCGCCTGGGGCTGCTTCGATGAGTTCAATAGACTGCAGGAGGCAACCCTGTCATCCATATCGATGCTCATACAGCCCATACAGAGCGCCCTCAAGGACAAGGCGGACAGCGTGCAAATTGGCGAGCGCCAGGTGAGAATAATGATAAATGACCGCACAGTTCAATTGCAATCGAGGCTGACTTCAAGCAGAGTTTAAGGTCGTTCACTTATGAGAGGAATAGGTGAATGGAAATAGAATAGAGAAACTTAAAAAAGTGAATGTACGGATGAGGATATAGTGGGATGATTGATCATAAATGATTGAAATGTTGTTGTTGGTCTAGAACACGAAAGCTAAATATATGATATGCCAAGTGTAAAGGAGAACATATACTGCATACTATACTGATAATGCTTGAACAAAGATTGATCACAAATAATTGAAAAGTGAGCGACTAACCGATAAGGACTAGTCGACAAATATGACATGTATAAAGCAAAAGATAGATTGAGCGAAGGGATATATGATAAATCTATGATTGATTGATTGATTGGTATATGAAGAGTCGGTTTAGTGGCAAAAGAATTCAAGGATTATCCAGCTGCAGATTAGTCGACCACCAGACTGTTATGTAGATTTTGATAAAGATTGTCTGATTGATGGATTATGATATTTCATTAATCATAAGTATTGACATTTATTGATGGACTGACAGAAAAGGCTGTAAGTGAATGATGGGTAGACAATTGACATTCATAAAACAAAGTTTGGTATAAGGTTGTCAGTAGTGAATATCTGAGTGATTGACGGGCGATTGATGTTGACTGATGGCTAGGTGTACTAATGATGCGATTGGCTAATGTTATATTAACATTATATTTATTATAATATATTTATTTGATTGCTTGACTGACATATTCATATTCATATAATCAATAATCATTTAGTTAATCAATCTCTTGGTTATGAATAATAGTATAGAATATATACACTATAAATAATAGTATAATAAATAATAATATATAGTAATAATATTTATAAATTTGTAATCTGGTATTTATGTTATTACTTGACTTCCATTGTTGTTCAATCGCTAACAGGTGCAGCTCAACCACCACTGCGGTATTTTCGTGACCTTGAATCCGGCGGGCGGGGAGTACGGCGGCAGACAAAAGCTGCCCGGTAATATTCAGGCGCTATTTCGGCCGATTGTTATGCAACAGCCGGAGCCGGGCGAAATTGCACGCGTTATGCTATTCGTGGAGGGCTTTGCGGCCGCTGCGGATATTGCGGCGCGAATTGTGGAGCTCTTCGATCTGTGCGGTAAAATGCTGTCCGCCCAGCGGCACTACGACTGGGGACTGCGCGAACTGAAAACCGTGCTGCTCGTTTGCGGCGAGGGACTGCGCGCGCAATTAGCGGGAATGCCAGCAGCGGGCCCACTTAATGAGCATTCCAATGCCAGTCACAGTCCTGCGGCGATTGGTAATGATGAAATGCGCATTGTTGTCCATTGTCTGCGCTCATCAACCATGTCCAAGCTGGCGCAACAGGACGTTGAACGCTTCGAAATGTTGCTGTTGAATGTGTTTCCCGAAATTGGCGCCTCGGCGGTGCCGTTGACACCGCTGCATCAGGCACTGGCCGCCGCCTTCGGCCCACTGGCCCTGCGCGCCAACGACAAGCAAATCGAGAAGGCATTGCAACTGCACGAGCAGCTGCAGAAGCGCATGGGCGTGGTCCTCGTCGGCCCACCTGGCTGCGGAAAATCGAGCATTCTATCACTGCTCCGACAGGCACTGACCGCCACAACGGGCATCCAGCTGCGCGTCCACACCATCAGCCCCAAGTCGATGAGTCGCGTGCAGCTGCTGGGCCGCCTCGACCCAGACACTCGCCAGTGGCTAGACGGCGTGCTCACCCACACAGCGGTGCTGGTCAATCAGGAGCCCTCGCATGTCCACTCGTGGATCGTCTGCGACGGCAGCATTGACCCCGAGTGGATAGAGGCTCTGAACTCGGTGCTGGATGATAACAAGTGAGTATTGAATGGAAACATCTATATAACATATAGTTTAAGACTTGTGAGCTAGGGTTTTTTACTTGATGTCTTACTCTGGATCAAAGTAATTTAGCTTAGTCGAATATTCCTTTGAATTTTTACTTCGATTAGTCTGGATCTTCTTGATCCAAAGGATCAAGTTTCACTTTCTCAATTTAGTAAAAATTTAAAACATCTAAAAAATATGTTTTCAGACTTTTCTCAGTACTAAAAACATAGAATGCGCAGCTTCGCAGACTCTTCTAAGTAAATTTGTGTAACAATTAACAATCAACTATACTTTACTTAAATTGATGTTAATTATTCCTAAATTATAAAATTATGAAAAATTTAATCTAAATCAATTTATATCTGAACTAAACAAAGATATATGCTTTAAAAATTTCATAAAAAAAAATATTCTGCCATAATACACGTTCATTAAAATTCCTTATTTCCACTCTTAACTAATTAAAATTGCTGTTGCTCCAAAAATCTTCATCTTCAATAGAACAAATTTTTTTTGCTTTAAGCAGTTTCTTAAAAAAATTAGAAATCATTAATATCTTACTTCTTTATAAATCAAATTTCATGACTGTTAAGCTTATCAAATTTTGTACATTCTCCCCCATAGACCCACTTCTCAAGTAGATAAAAATAAATTGCATTCTTTATCATTTTTTAGCAACAGCTTTTGCTAATATATTTTGCTCGTACATGCGCATAAATTCGTATTAATTATTTGCGGCTTGCCATATATATAATATAATATATGTATATATACTATAGTATATATCGTATGGGATACACAATTTGTTAAACGTACATATCAATTATCCTTTGTATATATATATATATATCGTATCGTATCTTAATGTTGCATGTATTGTATTGTACGGATGGGCAATTGCATCCCCTATCACTTAGCTACCGAGAAAAACAAAAGCGACTTAAAACATAGAAATGCTCAAAACTATGACATAAAATGAGGGAAGCCCACTAAAACAATAATGTAACGTAACGTACTAAACGTAATACACAACGTAACGGCATTTTACAAATGACGTCAAAGAGTCTCTCTTCATTCTGACATTGAACTGGCGTGTGGGTGCGAGCGGGAGAGTGCTGTTATTTGGGAACTAGTTTACGGTTCAATTGAACTGGTTCTTTAACATAGCTGCCAATTGTAAATTATTTATAGTTTAGTTATTTATAATTATATTTTGATTTGTAACTAGTTCTTCCGATTTCGTACTCTTATTTAATAGTTAAAATTTGTTTAATAAAATCTAAATTCGATTCATATATTACAAAAGAGGTTGAGAACCAATTGAACTAGTTCTATTGCATTTGTTTTGTAAATTGGTTTTACTTAACATTGTATTAGCAAATTAAATTCGATAAAAATATAACCAAAACATAATCAAAACTAATTCAGTTCAGTTCATCTAAAACTAGTTCACTTTAGGCGTCCTATGAACTACGTAAATATAATACGAGAAATCTCCAATTGGTTTTGGAAGCAAATTCAAGTGTGACTTAAGAGATAAAAGGTATAACTAAAAGCTAAATAGAAAACTAGTTCCAACTTATGAGTATACTCTTCCGCTCTCCCACACTCAGGCGATGTCCCCCTCTCTCTCTCTCACTCTCTCTTAACAAAATAAACATGAACTTGAACTGTGAAATGCGTATGTGGCTAGTTGAGCTTAAGAACTAAAGGCGAGTGCGTTAATCTCATATTATTGCGCATGCTGCTGCAACTGTTGCTGTTGCTGCGGAGGCGGCGGTGGTGGTGGCTGTGGCTGCGGCTGTTGTTGATGCGACGCCGTTGACGTCGCCGGCGGCGGCGGGGGCAGCGCCACTGTGGGCGGAGGCGGCAACGGCGCTGCTCGCATATGCTGCATATGCGCCTGTGGCGCCATGTGCTGAAACATGTTGCAGTGCTGCTGCTGTTGCTGCTGCAGATGGTGTTGCTGCTGCTGCTGCTGTTGCTGGTGTGCACTGAAGTGATGYTGCTGCTGCTGCTGCGCGGGATTGACATCGGGTGGCGTTTGCAATATAATCTCTGGCTCCAGATTCAGCGCCATGTCAGGATCGTCCGACTGCTGCTGAGGGCCGCCGCGCAACGAGGCAAGCGCCGCCGCCTGGGCGGCAGCCACTGCCGAGGCAGAGCTCGTCGCAGCGGCTGCGGCGGCAGCAGCGCTTAAGCTACTCACATCCTGACAGCCGTATTCCTGCTTGATGCCATTCGGTGGCGCTGGGTACAGTGTGGCGCCCAGATTCTGGTGCAGTATGGGATGGCAGAGCTGGGGCATCAGCGTTACGCCGGGAATGGGCAGGGCGGGATGCCCAAAGCTGGGCGGCGGATACAGCTGCTGCAGCTTGTTCAGCTGCTGCAAATGCGTGGGCGTGGCATGGCCAGCTGGCGCCGCCAACTGCGTCAGGCCAGACGTCGCGCTTGGCACATGGGACATGTTGCGGCGTCGCTGCTGCTGCTGCTGCTGGTGCTGGTGCGCCGCCGCTGCAGCAGCTGCTGCCAGCTGATGCTGCTGTTGCTGTTGCTGCTGTTGCTGCTGCTGCTGCTGTTGGTGGTGTGTGGATGGCTGCTGCTGTTGCTGCTGATGCTGCTGCTGTTGCTGCTGCTGTTGTTGTTGCTGTGCCTGAGGCGTCGATATGATCACCTCAGGTTCAACAGGCACTGGCGGTATAATGGCCGCAAATTCGGGCGGCAGTTGTGTGGGATCAGTCACCAGGAGACCCTTCTTGCGCTCCTTGCGTATCTTATCACGTAGCTTCTCCAGCTGTCGGAACGCCTCATTGGCGCGTCGCGCCTTCTTTCTATCACGATCGCGCTCCTGCTCCAGCCGGCGATACTCGGGATTCATGCGTTTGATGCGCTTCCGTTCACGATCTCTTTCGCGCTGTATCATTTTCTGGCGCAGCTCCTCCTCGGGCGTCAACTGAAAGTCAAACGGAGACGGGGAAAACTTATTAAAGCACAATGCGGCTGGCTCAAGCGATTGGGGTCGATTGTAGTCTGTATTGAAGGTCGAGCAGTCGTCTATTGTCTAATGATATATCTATCTATAAATAGAGCAAATCCCAGCCCCAACTACTTCAAGCTAGCTCTGCAGTCGACGTCTGTCTCTGAGTGTATGTGTGCGTGCGTGTGTGTGTGTATGTATTCGTGAGTGTGCGTGTGTGTGTGTGTGTGTGTATGTTTCTTATATATAATTTAGAAATATATATTGGAAAAATGCTACGTTAGCACGTCGTGCCTTCTTGCGAAATCTATCGCGCTCGCGCTCCATACGCCGATATTCGGGATTCAGGCGCTTGATGCGCTTTCGCTCTCGATCTCGCTCGCGCATGATGAACTTGTGGCGCGCCTCCTCCTCGGGTGTCATCAGCTGCAATATAGAGATGGGAAGCGATGCAAGAATAGTATCAAATACCAGAACTAAACTGAAAGCTGCTCAATGGGAAACAGTTCAATACAGAACGGAATTTTATTTTGAGTATAGAATTTCGTGCAGCTGAGCATGTATATGTCTAATGCTAATCAGTGGATCAATTTCATACAAGATAAATTAAAAGGCATAATTTCAAATTAGAAGCTTGTTTGAAAATTAAATTAACGCTCGTTCATCTCTGCTAGCGAGCGAGAATTCTTGAGAAGAGAACTTAACATTTCTATTAACAGTCTGAAGACATAAATATATCAATGTTTAAACTCTGTTGAAGCTTAACAGGACAACGGTCACATATGTATATAGGGAAATTTTGGCAAGTGTTGTAAAATGTTGCTGTCATTTCTTTTTACAGCCATTAGACATATACATGTCAAAAGCGGAATACATGAAAACTGTTTCTGTTAGTGTGTTGTGTGTGCTTTAACTTTAGTAATTAGTAATTTGGAACTAATCAGATCTTGAAACGTTTCGCAGACTCCTAACACTGCCCTCTGGCTGGCGCATACAGTTCGGCAACAATGTCAACTTTATATTCGAGACGGACGATGTGCGTCACGCCTCCCCGGCAACCATATCACGCATGGGCATTGTCAACATGAGGTAAGTGACTTTGGTGGGAATACATAATCCGAGTGTATAACATTTGTCGCCAACTGAATATCACTCTAAATAGCTACGACTATTATCCCCTGACGGAAGTACTCAAGCATGAGCTGGAGAAGGAGCCATATGGCGATCTACTGCAAAGCTACATTGATGAAAATTTCAGAGTAGCTTACGACTGGCTTCAAAATGAGCAATTGTTGGGGTAAGTAAACTAGATGTACTAAATGTATCTAATTAATTTAAAGTAAGGAATTGTAATAGTTCCTTGACAATGTGAACTATAAGCCTCAATGTCTTCTTTAAAATCTTCCTAATAGTTAAAAAAAAAAACTTTGAATTCTTATCTATTGCCTATTTAGTCAAGTGCCTGGCATAAGTCGGTCCAGTTTGCTGCGCTCCCTGCTGCTGCAGCTGCACAATAGCCAGACGATCGAGGAGTATGGCGCAGCCACATTACGCACAATGCTCGGCTATGTTCCCAGCGAGCGGCAGCGAGAGTTCGCACAGCTGGTGCTGCAGCGCGCGAATCTCTATGTGGCACAGCCGAGTCATGCCGAGCTGAGCTACTACGACCCGCAGCGCAAAGCACTGGAGCAGCATGTGGTGGGCGTCATAGAGACGCCCGAGCATGGCAGTGAGCTCATTGTGACAGCTTATGTTAAATCATATCTGAGTATTATCAATTCGCTGCTGGAGCTGCCGGCTGGACGTGCGACGCCTTTCATATTGGTCGGTCCCAGCGGAGCGGGCAAGACGCTGCTGCTGGAGCAGGCGCTGCTGGAGTGCTCGGGCTACCAGCTGGCCAGCATCAATTGCTCCACACAGCTGACCGCTGGCTACGTGCTGCACACGCTGCGCACGCACTGCGTCACGGTGAGCGGCGTGCGTGGGCGGGAATACAAGCCGAAGCAGTCGAGGCTGGTGCTGTTCATGAAGAACCTGGACTTGTGCCAGCTGGATGCCTGGGGCGCCTGCGAGATAGTCGAGCTGCTGCTGCAACTGGTGCAGCGCGGCGGCTTCTATGCGGAAAATCTGGAATGGATCAGCGTCAGTGGGCTGCAAATTTGTGCGTCCATCAGTGGCAATTTGTCAAAAATTTCACCCCGCTACCTGGCCATCAATCAGTACGTGCGCGTGGCCCGGCCGAGTGCTGCCGATATGCTGGCCATCGTTCAGTGCCGCCTCCAGCCGTTGCTCCACACGCACTTCAAACCACCGCCCGGCAGTCCCATCAATTTGCAGCACGTCAGCGAGTGCCTAATGGAGTGCTTTGAAAAGGTAAAGTCGGTCGGCTGCCTGCTGCATTTGCTTTGAGTCTGATTTGCTTAGCTGGATTTCTCTATTTGCAGCTCCAGGCTGTTTTTACTGCGTCCACTGGTCCACAGCAACAGCAGCAGCAGCAGCAGTTGCATTATCAGTTTAGCCCCAAGTGCATTATGAAGCTCTTGGCGGCTCTCGTTTACTATCCGTCCACAGACTTCAATGAGGTAAGTGACTGCGTTTGCTGCTAACTGAATTGCCTCACTTGTGCCACTTCTCTGTCCTTTTGCAGGCTTTGCATTGCGAGCTGTTGGGCTTGTTCAGAGATCGTTTGGCCAGCGAGGAGCATGTGCAGCAATTCGAGTCTATTCTGAAGCAAACTATGCGCAAATATCTAGGCAAGGAGGTGGGTGTAAATCTTATTTAGAATTTCATTACCATATCTCCGCCAAATGCTTCAAATCTTTATATATATATATATATATATAGAAAATCTACTATGTGCCCAAATCGGCAAAGTCCAAAGGACAACTGCAAGGACTCGCTCACGATGAGTGGCTGGAGGAGGTGCAAAGGCAGATTACAATATGCAGTAAGTAGTGATTAGAGAAGGGCTACCCCATGGCTCACATTGTTTTGATTGACTATAAAAACTAGGCCTAGCGTAAAGGGATTTTAAAATAATATTGTACATACATAGTAATTCTATTCTGATCTGATAACTTTTCTTATACAATTTACAATTCTACAGTTCCTTTCTGATACATTTTATTTCAATTAAGAGAAATTCCCCTAAGCCAATCTATATTCGCTCATTCTACTTAGACTTTTTATATATCACATAAATCGTAAAGTTCACACTCGCCTCACAGCTATGCGCAGAAATTTAAGTTTTTAGCCCTTTTCCGTTTCAAGATATGAGTAGTTCAGACAGGTTTGAAAAAAAAAAAAAAAGGAAAATAGTGGAAAATAGACAAAAATAATACAATATGAATCGGGATAACTACACTGGGCCTTGGCGTCTGTTTGCGAAATCGATCCCGCTCCCGTTCCATTTGTCGATATTCGGGATTCATGCGTTTGATGCGCTTGCGCTCCCGATCTCGTTCCCGCATGATGAACTTTTGGCGTGCCTCCTCTTCGGGGGTCATCCACTGGAAGTACACAGAGAATGGGTTGAAAATAACAGAAACAGTTTCGAAACGCAGAAAGATAATTTTTGATTTGTTGGAAATTGATGAGAAGAGTATGAAGTAAAAGTAGAAGTCAATTTCTAATAGGTAAAAGAAAATAGTTAATGTATAGATGAATCTTAAAGCTACGCTGTTAATTAAGCAATGTTATGGGAATTATAGAATTGATTCTGTTAAGATAATGTTACTAACTAAAGGTGCCTAGATAATTAAATTGACTCTGTTAAATGTATGATAACTTTGTATATTGACTATTTGAAACCCCTTTATATCTCATCTCAAGATACCGAAAGCTATAGCATTTCGGCACCCATCACGGAGGAGCTGCTGCAGCACACAGCCAAAGTAGCACGAATCCTCTCCCGCAACGATGCTCACTTGCTGATTCTGGCTGAAGCAGGTGATCGCCACCTGGATGCCATCTATGCGGCTGCCACGCTGCAGCAGGCCAAGGTCTTGACCTTACAGGGAACCGCCAACTATGCTCTACCGGATTTCTACAACGATTTGAAGTTGGCAATGCAGACGGCAGCGCTGGAGCAGCAGATGAGCTATCTGCTCATCGAGCATTGCTGGCTGAGCTATGTGCCGGATATACTAAAGCCCATTGAGGCACTCCTGGAGGGCAGTGAAATACTGGAGTTGTTTGGCGACGATCTGGAGACGGTGGCCAGCACGCTGAAGCAGGCGGCACAGTTGGAGGGCTATCAGGAGTCGCTGGGCGCATACTTTATGAAGCGTGCACGAGAGCATCTGCACTTGGTGCTGGTGCTCGAGCCGAGCAGTCCACAGCTGGCGGAGTACTTCAGCAGCTGCCCAGCCTTGCTTCGTCAAATGGATATGCTCTACGTGCGTGCGGAGTCGCGTGATACGCTGGCGATGCTGCCCAAGCAGTACATTGAGTTGCTCAACGAGGCGACGACTGCGGCCGCGGGGCGTGGCAAGGTGCCCGTCTGCAGTCACTTCGGCGATGTGGCCGAAGAGCTGCCGCCAGAGCAGCCGGCGCATCGCTACTATCAGCTTATCAGCAGCTACTTCCATATGTACAGCAATGCAGCAGCTGAGATTGATCGGCGCATGCGCAAGCTGCAGCTGGGCGTGGATAAGCTGGCTGCGGCGCATGCTCTGGTCGGCACACTGAAGGCCAATGCGACGGAGCAGGAGCAGGCGCTGGGCGAGAAGCGAAAGCTGGCCAACGATGCACTGCAAATGATCTCGGCGACGATGCACAATGCGAATGAGCAGAAGTCGAATATGCTGGAGCTGAAGCAGAAGACGCAGCAGAGCAGCGAGCAGCTGAAGCTGCGACAGCGCGAGATTCAGCAGGAGCTGGCAGAGGTGGAGCCGATCTTGGCGGAGGCCAGCAATGCGGTGGGTCAAATCAAATCCGAGGCGTTGTCCGAAATACGCTCGCTCCGCGCTCCACCCGAGGCCGTGCGGGACATACTGGAAGGTGTGCTGCGGCTAATGGGCATACGCGACACCTCGTGGAACAGCATGAAAACGTTTCTGGCCAAGCGCGGCGTCAAGGAGGACATACGCTCCCTGGACCCGGCACATATCAGCCCCGAGAACTGCCAGGCCGTGGAGCGCCTGCTGCAGGCAAAAGGTGACTCCTACGAGTCGAAGAATGCGAAGCGTGCCTCTGCAGCTGCCGCACCACTCGCTGCCTGGGTGCAGGCCAGCGTGCGCTACTCACGCGTCATTCAGAGCATTAAGCCACTGGAGCGCGAGCAAAATGAGCTGCAGCGCAATCTGAATGCCGCCGAGGATGAGATGCAGCAGCTGGCCAGCGGCCTGGACGATGTGGACAAGCGCGTGCAGAAGCTGTCTGCGAAGTTGCAAACCTACACGCAGGAGGCGGCCGTGCTGGAGCTGAAGCTGCAAGAGGCGGGCGCCACGCTGCAGGCAGCGGAGCTGTTGGTGGCCAAGCTGAGCGCCGAGTATGCCACCTGGAGCGAGCAGCTGGCCGAACTGAAGCGCGCTCACAAGACACTCGACAGCAAGACGTTGCTGCTGGCATTGGCCATCAATTACTACGCCGGCTGGGGAGTCGAGCAACGCGGGTAAGCTGAAGTCTGGTTAGAGCTAATATTAGTTGAATAGGCTTCATGGAAGATATCAGATTTAACTACTTAAATTCCCTTACTCCTCTTTTACAGCACCCTAATCAAACGTCTCAGCAAGGAATTCCAGCTCTCCGGCTCTGATGGCTTTGAGCTACGCCGAACTCTCGTCACAGAGCAGCAGCAAATCATTTGGGAAAGTCAAGGCTTGGCGCGCGACGCGCAGATCATTGAGAGCGCTGCACTGCTGCGTGAGATGCTGGCGTTGCCCTTTGGCAGTTGTCCAGTGCCGCTGCTGCTGGACCCCACCCAGACGGCGGGGCAATGGCTCAGCGCGCATCTGCGTGCAACTGGCCGAGCGAGCGAGCTGACAAGCCAAGGCCACGAGCGACTCTGCTACCAACTGGAGCTGGCCGTGCGCTTTGGCAAAACGCTGCTGGTGCTGGACTGCGAGCAGCTGCATCCGCCGCTGCTGGAGCTGCTGCAGCTGCACATCTATGTGCGCTTCAACAAGCGCCAGTTGGCAGTGGGCAATAAGTTGGTGGATCTCCATGAGGACTTCCAATTGGTGCTGATCAGCAAGTCTCATCGCCTGCAGCAGTTGCCGCCGGAGCAGCGGGGTCAAGTGAATCTGCTGCGCTTCACGGTGACAGCCACTGGGCTGGCCGATCAGCTAATGTCCAAGGCGATTGTGCTGAAGAATCCGGCACTGGAGCAGCAGCGCATCGAGCTGCTGCAGCGAGAGGGCGAGCTGCTTAAGCAGCGCATGGCGCTCCAGGACAATCTGCTCGAGCAGCTCTCCAAGGCCGAGGGCGACATTCTGCGCAACGAGCCGCTCCTGGCCAGCCTCAACGAGGTGAAGCGCAGCAGCGCCGAAATCGATGCGGCGCTGGAGCAGAGCGGACAGGTCAAGCAAACACTGCTCTCACAATTCGGTGCGCTGCGTGAGCTCTGCGAGCAGGCGGCCAACTTCTACGCTGGCCTGACGCAGGGCTACGAGCTGTCGGCCCTAGTCTACATCGAGCTCTTCCTGGGGGCGCTGCGTGCTCAGGATGCTCAGCAGCTGCACCAGCAGCAGCTGTTCGAGCGCCTCGTCCGCAGCGTCTATCTGCATCTGGCGCGTGCAACACCTCGCGAAAGTCAATTGACGCTGGCCCTGTGGGTTTGCCGGCAAGCCTTCGGCTCCGCCATCGGCGCCAAGGAGTGGGAGCTGTTTGTCAGCAGCTTCATGGGCAGCGCCGATGGCAGCTGTCAGCTAAGCGGCGGCCTGCCCGACTGCATAAGCCGCGACTCACAATTGAAGCTGGCGCTGCTGCTGCAACAGCTGCCGGACCTCAAGGCGCAACTGCAGCTGGACAAGGATTACGTGTGGCGCGGCTTTATCGAACAGCAAACGGACGATATACTGCGTGAGTAAATAAATCATCTGATTAGTATATGAATTTGATAGTTGTATGATCTTGCTAAATACCTATTGAAGGAGTATAACGCCCTTAGGACCTTAGTTGAGCTCTCCTCTGAACTGGAGGAGATCTCTAGACATAGACACTTCTCCTCAATCCATCATTTAATTCCAAGTTTTTCATTAAACAACCAACATCATTTGCCTCCTCAGTTCTCTTCCATAACAGAGATAGAATTCATATGTGTCCTCTGCCCTGCACACTTCCTCCTCCCTGATCTCTAGACTCAGACTGCATACATTAAACGTCTCTCTCTGCTTTTTACTCATTCACTTAACACCATCCCTTCTTCTCCTCTTTCAGCCAATATCAAGTCCCACTTTCAACGCGTGCTAGTGGCGCAAATCTTTCGACCCGACTTACTGCTCACGCAACTACGTTTGGCCAGCAGCCAATTGTTGGGCCTATCCCCAGAGGCGGCCACACAGCCAACCGTGCAGCAGCTGCTGGAGCAGAGCAGCTGCGATCGTCCCATATTGATGATCAGTCAACCCGAACTAGATCCAGCCACAGAGCTGCGTGGCGTAGCTCTGAAGAAGTGGGGACCACAGAAGTACGTGGAGTTGGCCATAGGACGGGGCAGCGAGCTGCGCGCCTTGGCGGCCATGCGGCAGGCAGCGGGCCAGGGTCAGTGGCTGTGCGTCAAGAATGTGCATCTGGTGCCCGAGTGGCTGGGCCAGATGGAGCGTGAGCTGAGCGAGCTGCACAAGTCTGAGGAGTTTCGCTTATGGCTGCTCTGCGAGTCCACCAACGGCTTCAGCGAGGCGGCTGTCTACAAGTGTCTCAAGGTGCGATACGAGCAGCCGCGCGGCCTCAAGCAGCAGGTGCAGCGAATGCTGCAGAACTACACCGGCCTCCAGCCGGAGTCGGCTAGCAAGCAGCCTGCGAAGTGCTTGAAGATGCGCTTGGTGCTCTTCCTGCTGCAGGCCGTGCTCCAGCAGCGTCGTCAGTATATACCCCAGGGCTGGTCGAAGTACTACGAGTTCGGCGAGGCAGACCTCAAGGCAGCCCTCGGCGTGCTGGGCTGGCTGGACGCGCAGCTGAACAGCGGACGCTGCGATTGGACGCTGATGCAGCGTCTCTGCGAGGCGGTGGCCTATGGCGGGCGAATGAACAACGAACGGGATGTGGACATACTAAGGAGCTATCTATCCCAGTTCTGCTGTGCGGATGTCCTCAGCAATCGCTGGCAGCCACTGGGCCTGCCTGGCTCCATGCCCACCAGCGCCCAGCTGCAGGATTACTATGCGGCCGTCGATCGATTGCCGGATGTGGATGAGCCGCGCATGTACGGACTCGCCAGTCAGGCGCAGCAGCAGCGCGAAATGGAGCAGGCGCGTCTAATCATCAAGGAGCTGCGCGCGTTGCAGTTTGGCGGATCTGCGGCTGGCAGCGAACTGGCCACGCCCAACTCCAGGCAGCGACTGGAACAGCAAATCAAGCCTTTGCTCAGCTTGTGGAGGAAATTGGCCAATGGCTGCACCATAGCCCAGACGGCAAAGGAAGCAGCACTCACCAGTGCTACAGCCACGCCCATGCCCACGCCCTGGACGCTGTTTGTGCTCGCCGAGCTGCAGCTGGGCGCTCAGCTTTATAGAGCCGTGCATCAGCTGCTGTCGCAGCTGCACAATTGGCTGAAGGAGACGACGGGCAGAGCGGAGCAGCCAGCGGATGTGGATGCCAGCACAATGCTAGCGCTGGCCGAGCAGCAGGTGAGTGGGAATATCGAGGCAGTGCTGCAGTATAATGGTGCCTCATTAGGTCGAATTTTAAACTATCCTGCTTGCATAAATGAATTCAATATTAAAGTCCATTAATTCGATAACAAATAAGCTCGCAAAATGATAAAGTACAGTGAACACTTTCTTGTAGAAACACTTAAGACTATATTTCAGTTTGCGTACAGACACTTAACTGTAGTCTATACTCTTATATACATATGTATATGTATGTAAGGAAGAAATAGCATAAGATAGAAGATATAATATTTTATACTTTGTACAAAAACTAGTTTTTACAAAAATTAAAATACGGTTTTTTTTCTCTGCATAATTAATAATTTTCAAAATATTGGATTGGATCCAAATTTTGTTATATATGTATAAATGTCTTTATAGATTTGCGTAGGTGACACACCATAATTCTATAACACATTCAAGTTCAAGTATTTAATGAACTAGGCAGCGTCATTATATACTTTATATGGAATACTATGAACAAACTTTTGTTTGGTTCCTTGTAAGTCTTTTTTAGTCTTTTTTTAGTACCCCGTCAACTTATGATATCAAAATAATTTTTAGAAAACTTCCCATAGATATCTGATTAAATATAGTATAGTATTATAAATCAACTCTTATCTGGATATAGTTATGGGGTATTATAAAAGACTTCAACTCACATCTGATATTCTCTACTCATATCTTGATCTAGCTATGATGTTGTATAAGGCATCTTGTCATATGTAGACATTATCTATAGCTATCGTATAGACATTTTAAGCATACTAAAGCCATAAATCTCTTTCCCATGCATATAAAATCAACTACTATAACTTTAATCTCCTCCTTCACGCAGGTGCCCCACAGCTGGCAGAAGCTGTGGCCCGGTCCGAGCAGCAGCAGCGCCGTTGACTACCTGCGCGGTCTGATGGTGCGTGCGGAGGCAGCTGAGCAGCGCTTTAAGGAGTCGCTGCAGCTGGAATTCGGCCAGGAGCTGAATCTGAAGCAGGTCTTCAACTGCGAGAATCTGTTGGCCTGCTTGAAGTTGCAGCAGGCGCGCAAATGCTGTGTATCCACGCAGCGACTCCAATTGCAGTGTGCGAAGGCCAGCGATAGGGCAGGAGGAGCTGGGGATCTGCTTTTGCTTAAGCTGGCGCCGCTTAAGGTGAGTTTTTCTCTGTTGCCTTTTTTCATGCAGACATATACATTTAGTTTGCCTGGTGCGTGCTGTTGTCTGTCCGCGCCGTCGTCTCCACTGCCTGCCTGCCTGTCTGTCTGTCTGTCAATCAACGCTATCTCTTTTCATTGCTTGGCTGCTGAACTCTTTTGTCTTTTTCTTTCCTTTTTTTTTTTTTGTTTTTTTTTTTTTCGCTTTGCTTACCTTGCCCATCTTGGCCATGAAGTGGGTCTCCAGCTTGACGTCTTTTGTTTGTTTACCACTTGATTAGAATTAAATTTAATTTATATTTACAACATTTAGTTTGCGATTGCTGCAGAATTTGGTTTCTCTGCAGTTTTTCGCTTTTTTCACGCCGCTTCTTTTTGTTTATTTGATTGACATTCCGGCGCTCTGTTAACTTGGCACCAGGGCTGCACAGCACTGCTGTTGTCTGTTATCTAAGGCAAGTATTTTATGGGTACCGCTTCAAATGAGAATAGATAGCAGAAATTTCAATCTTTTAAAACATTAAAATATTATTAAAGTTAAACTTATTTTATATACCTATTCAGGATTTTTGATTTACTATACACTGCACCTATTCGAATATAGAATCTAAGTTGCTCTATTACATCTTTGCTCCTCCTGTTAAAATATTCATATGACTATTAACAGTGTGGAGCAGCATTCTGTTATGTTAAAATTGGCACTCTGGCACATGTTCGTTAAATGAGTATTTTCGTTAAGTGTTGCACTGTATCGTAGTCATGGGTTCATGTACAGACTAAGGTTGTTGTCTAAATACATAAATGTTGCATATCTAAAACGATTTCATATACACTTTGTTTATTTCCAACTCCATTAGCTTGATGGTAATACGCAGCTACTCAACAGCAGCGAGTCGAATCCATTTTACATCACATACAAAATCACAGACAACAACGAAGCGAACGTGACTGAGGATAAGTTCAAGAAAATCGATCGCTTTGCCAGCAACAGGCAGCACACCGACGAGCGCATTACCCTGCCGCTGTACAGCAGAGCCAGCCGGGACAAGCTGATCTGCCATTTGGAACTGGATGCCGCTGGCGCCACGGCGGAACAAGTTCTTCTCGCCGGCACAGCCCTCATCGTCGAAGACTATTGAAGACAGTCCCAGAAAAAAAATCAGGTTTAATCTATTTCAAATCTCCCATCTATTGAAACTCATCCCAGAAAACGGAATCCAACATATAAATAAATATGCAAGCTCCGCAATACAAATAGAGTGGAAAGACAACGGCCATAAGCGTCATTTTGATTGTAAACAAAATTTGTTAGCAACTCCAAAATTTTGAATTTATACAAAATTTAAATGAGAAATGAAAGAAATACAAATGAATCAATTTTAAATACAAAAGTTTGTAGCTTGCTATATGATGAAATAAATGGGTGAATTGAAATGCCACAATTAGTATTTAATACCATCTCAAACCCTGAGTATACCGAATCCAGAGGGGATTCTTCATACCCTGAATTGAAAATGGGAAATCCGGGTGTAGTGGTTTTGTTAAAAGTATGTAGCAGCCAGAGGAGGCAGACCCCATAGAGTATATATATTCTTAATCAGGGCGACGAGCTGAGTCGACATAGCTCTGTCCGTTTGTTTTTCTTTTCGATCGCGTCGATCTCAGAAGATATGGGAGCTACAGAGTAGAAATGGCTTTTCCTAGGTTCGTGTATATCATAAGCATTTCAAGGTATTCTCCAAAAATCGATAACCACTTTTGTTAAGTTGTTATCGATTAAAACTATATCGAAAATAAGTTATAGAAATACATCCACATCTTACTTTTTATTATTATTATTATAATTATGATTATGATTATTATTATTATATTTTAAGTATCATAGATATAATCTTGGAAATACAATCTTGGAAGATCCCCGGAAAAAGTCCGAGCATATTCCCACTTAGTTTTGGTCCCGCTTCGAACTAATTAAGTTCATATTTAGTTCCTTCTTCCAGCAAATTAACTTTCGCTTCTCTTCTGATTGACTCCCGCTTCTCCTCCTCTCTCAGCTATCAATGAGATTCAAGCAAAACTCTATAATCTCCATTAAATGTGAGTTTAATTGAATATATTTAATTGCTATTGTCTTAATTGCAATAAACATTTGCAGCATTTGAATAATTCAGGCACAAAACTGTTTTATGAGCTTGAATATATTTGTATTTATACATATGTGTGTGTATGTGCTTGCGTGTGTGTGTGTGTGCATGGGTTCACATTAGCCTCGTCATAATCTGAACTAATTGCAACCACAAAATGGCAGCAACAAGAGCAGCCGCAATTGAAGTGCGCCATAAATGTTTTGGGTCTCGGTTTTACATGCGTCTCGTAGTTCGCCAAGATATTTGGGCCCCAAGCCAGACACCTACACGTGCCACGCCCGCCGCCCACCGCCCACCGCCCCCCTCTAGGCCACCTGCTTTTGGCAAAAGTTGCTTAAGTTTAATTAAGTGGCATTATGTTCAATTAGGCAAAAGTTTCGAATATGCAAATTAACACAATTTGTGAGCAAAGTGCTCGAGCGGGATGAGAAGCGAACGGGCGAACGGGAGAGCCAACGGACGGACGGATGAACGGACAAGCGGGCGGATGGCCGTGGCGGCAGCAACATTTGCTTCTGTGGCAGACAAATTGCTTTTTGTTGCTTATTTGAAACACACAAATCAAAGCAAATGACAACAGCAGCGCCGCCTGCGTTAACGTTGTGGGCGTGGCCGAATTATAAATATTGCTCAGAGCTTTTAGTTTTTGGACATTGCGAAACGCTATAAATAAATTATATGAGCATATAATAGGAGTCAGTGGAGCGGAAATTATATTAGCTAGCAGCGTGTAAGGGGGAGAGAGAGAGAGAGAGAGGGATGAAGATACTTAAGAGATAGAAAGTGGGAGGGGATGGATTAGGCTTTAGGATTACAAAATTAATTTCCAACAATTTGGTTACGAATAAAGCGAATTTGTTTGTAAAAGGCTTTAAAGATTTTGGGCATTCATTAAGCTTAGCTGAGATGATATTACTGTAACGCAGATGTCCGTAAATTCTCAAGGTATTAAGGAATAAATTACCGCGAATCAGCTAAGCAGATAATAGATCTGGAATAGGTACTGAACTCAAGCAAAGCATGAACTGATGCAGCTGGAGCATAAATATTTTCTATATTATTTATATCATTATGTATCTTAGCAGTTCTCTAAGATAGTTGTTATACTCATTCTCGACATGAGACGAGCATATTGGCTCCCTGCGATGTCCGTGTTGCTCACCGTCTGTCTGTCCGTATGAATGCAAATTTGGAACACATGGCTCCAGTTATAAAGTGTCAAGATTTTCTCTGCAAATCGGAAAATCTCCCTGGTAATTGAAGAGCGGGATATATGTACACCAAAACTTTTGTGATTTCTCTTGCATACAGTACAGTAGAAGTATGTATTTTTATACCCTGAACCCATTGAAAATGGGAAATCAGGGTATAATGGTTTTGTGAAAAGTATGTAACAGGCAGAAG